ACAGTTGTTGAAGGAAAGTTTTCGATTTTGTGATCACAGGCCCAACCAACCCGAGAGGATCGTAAAATCGCGCTATTGCAGATAGGACAGATCGCCTGCAGAGGCTTGATGCTGACTGTAAGACCGAAAAGGAAAACAATAGTTGGATCCCAGCGAGACCTAAGGTTTTTGCAAAATCAGTGTCGTCATCAAACTTCAAATAGGACTCCTTATCTTTGTGTGCAACTCCACCCAAAACAGCAGACACATTTGAGCACCACTTTCTAAGCTTAAATTTTCCCTCTGCTAGAAGTTTTGATGCCTGATCCATAATGATGACTGCCTCTTCCTTGGACTTGGCTCCAGATATCAAATCATCCACATAAAAATCGCGACGAATGACCTCAGCCCCAAGCGGAAACGATGTATGCTCGTCTGCTGACAACTGATGCATAGCTCGCACAGCCAGAAATGATGCTGGCTTCGAGCTATAAGTAACGGTGACTAGCTTAAACACCCGCAATTGGTCCTGGGGGGAATCCCTCTACAAAATGCATTGCAAATTGCTGTCCTCAGGCTGAACCCTAACACAAAGGTACATTTTGCAAATGTCTTCTGTGATTGATACTGGGTGTGAACGAAACCGAAGAAGAATCTGGAACAGCTTAGGCAGAATAACAGGGTCTTCCATAAGAACACCGTTGAGAGAATAGCCTGAGGAACTGGTCGCCGATCCATCAAAAACTACGCGAAGCTTTGTAGTGGAGCTATCTTCCTTTATGACGCAATGATAAGGCAAGAAGTATCGGCTCAACCCGATGTCAGCGGCAGAAACTAATGACATATGTCCTAGATCGAGGTGTTCCTTTATGAATGCTGCATATTGAGCCTTCAAGGCTGGCTGACGATTCAACTTTCTCTCTAGGGACAAGAATCTTAAATAAGCTTGATGGTAGGACTCTCCCAAAAGATCTAGATTGAACTTGGCAGGCAGCCGAACAGAATAATCACCAGCTGGCAAACGAACGACATGTCTTACGAAATGTGCTTCACAGTCCAGTTCTTCCTTAGTAGCGCATATACATAAATGGCTCGGCGCAGCTTTCCACTTCCCAAAATCGTCGAAGAAGATCATCTAACCGATCGAAACTATTCTCTCTACTAGCGAGAAGTACATCTTGAGACGACATTAAGGACGAGCCATTGGAAAGTCCATAACCTCCAGAAACAACCGAACCCAGACGCGTCTTTTGAATTAGGGGTAACCCAGGTGGGAGCTTGATTTGGCCAACGCACAACATCTCGAAAAAGAGGCTGGCTCCGATTAAAAGATCCAACCGCTGGGGAGCATAAAACCTTGGGTCAGCTAACTGTATATTTTTGGGTATGTTCCAGCTGGGGTAATGTTGGCCAAGTATTCGGAAGTTCGGGACTGAATCGTAATATTGACCGAGTGATTATCCGTCACAAATCTGGAATCTCCTATTCCAGTTACAGATGCTGAAGATTTTATTTTCTTTACTTGAAGCTGATTTGCGAATCGGCACGTTATAAGATGTAGTTGGGAGCCCGAATCGAGAAGAGCTCGACAGGGAACGAAAACCCCGGGACTGTTCTTTAGTAAAACTCTAGCTGTTGCTAAGAGCACAATATCATTACTAAACTCCTGTGCAATAAGAGCAGTCGAAGTGGAATGCAGTGCAGAGGGTGAGGCAGAGGGTAGTGCTTCTTGAAGCTGCGCTCCTTGTGAAGAAAAGGAAAGTAAGTTTCCCAGATGAAGGAGGGTGTGGTGCTTAGATCCGCATGCACGACAATTACTGGAGTTGCATTGTCGAACTTGATGACCAACCTTAAGACAATTTGTGCAAAGACCGAGCCGTTTCGCTTCTTGAAGCCTATTCGCAGGAGACAGGATTTTAAAATTCTGACAATAAGACGCGCATTGGGTATTCTCTTACTACCCTGTTCCCTGATCACCTGATTGCCCGGCGCATTAGTTTCCAACGTCCTGCATCGCTGCTCCAGAAATGATGCCATTGACTCCCACGTAGGAATTAAATTGACGAAGGCAGGGTCCTCTAAACGCTCTTCCCACTTTGCCTGACTTGCCAGATCCAGCTTTTGGAACAGGACTTGGACGATGATGCATCCTGCGATTTGTTCCGTCGTTCCCAGTCCTTTGAGAGCGTGAATATAAGCGTTGAATTTATCGGACAGTTCCCGAAGTGTCGAAACGGAACCACTCTGCACCGCCTTAAGTCCCAGGATCTCAGTAATGTGTGCCTGAAAAACCAAACGATTAGCAAATCTATTTTGCAGCAAATCTAACGCAATTGCGTAGTTGCCATCCGAAATTTCCAATGAGCGAATAGTTTCCAACGCTGCGTCCCTCAGGCATGGTCGTAGATGCTGCAGCTTTTCTACGTTGGTGAGGTCCGGATGACTACCTATGATCGTGGTAAACATAGAATAAAAGTCAGACCAATATGCATTACCTCCAGCGAGGCTGACGCTGCTGGGGCCGAAAACTACCGAAGTGATGCCGTCAACAAAAGTTGAGTGCGAAAGAAGCTGTGAGGCGCGCTTTGAAATTTCGGATCGAACCGATGACTTCAGAATTACGAGAATGTCAACAAATTTCTCACTTAAATCACTTTCAGTTTCCTCGAAATCCAATTCTTCGAGCTCACCGAGAACCTTTTTAAATGATTCTTGAAGCTCATCAATCAACTCCAACTTCACATGAAGACCGGATTCGTCGCATGAAGTTAACGCCGCACTTGATAGGGAATCCACTAAACGCTCCACTCTAATAAATAAAGCAGTTGCCTTGCGCTTTAAAAATATTGCCCTGCGGGCAATCAATATTGCATCAGCGGTAACGTCTCCAAAAGTTCCCGTAGGCATGGCTACAACAACAAAAAAAAAACCCAGCAGACGAAATGCCCGAAATTCGGCTCCAGCGGGAAGATGAGCGCAAAGCAAACGAGGGAATAACAGCCTGTTACTTGGCTATGTACGCTTCTATGCATAGCTGATTTTGCGCCTTATATGTAAATTTTCGCTATCACCAACTGATATTTATTTATAGCGCTCATTGCATTTAAGGCCTTATGATTGTTGCTAATGTTGAATGTTGAACTAATATGCTTTTTTATTAGTTATTGCTAAATTAAAAAATACGAATTTCAGGTTGCTTTATGCTTGTTGATAATTTATTAGCGAAAGGGAGTACAGCAGGCGAGACGAAAGTGCATTTAATGTCGAGATCGGAATTCGTACTGATTTTACAAAGGGACAGCCAGCCGAATGCTGGGCCCAAGAACGCAAGTACGCAAAAAACGAGAGAGCTAGATAGAGATAGCTACCTTTCGCGATGCAATTATATAAGAGATCGAATTAAGACGTTAATAAGCTGCTGCGGCTGCGTGACCTGACAACTTCCTTCATTGGCAAGCGTAAGTCAACTGGTATTGAATGGTCAGATTAATGGAATACATTTAAATTTAAATTCAATACATACTTACAAATTTTTATACAACAAATTTTTTTAAAATGTGGGTGCTAGACAGGTTATATTAACTTGCGCTGCGCAAGAACCTCTAGAATCTTCAGGCCTAATCCCAACTTTGTAGCTCTTATGGTTTTCAAAATGTCAGCGCTCATACGGACGGGCGGACAGATAGACGATCATGGCTAGATCGGCTTGGCTAACGATCCTGATCAAGAATATGTATACTTTAAAAGGTCGGAAACACTTCCTTCTTCCGGTTACATACCATTTTACTCTACGGTAACGTGTATAAAAACTGCGGTTTTCTCGAAACTCAATAATGGGAGCAAAGAATTTTACCCAAACTTTGTAAATAAAATAATAATTTTTAAATGATTATAGTTTTTGTTATTTATAGTTAGTTAATTTTTGTTAGTAAGCAATCTGTATAAAGGTCGCACGGAAAAAATAAATGCCATTTGTTATGTATATATTGTACGATAGGGAGTTGCCACAGTATACAAAATGTAACCTTTTGTCATTGAGCCACTCAGTAGACATTTTAATGGTGCTGGTTACTGCCATCCAATTGGTTACAATAAAGGCATGTAAGATTCGTTGCTGTATCTGGACACCAAATCGCTTTTTAAATCCTACGTTCTAAAATCAAACTTTCTCCAATGTTTATACGTTATTGATAAAATGGCAAGACAGCAGGTTAGACCACAAATTCTCTATTGGATTGAGATGGGGGTCCTAACAACAACCAAAACCTTGGCGGTCCGATGCTCCAACTTTGTGAATGCCACGGTAAATGACACAACCCTAAAATTATATTTTTTATGTTTTGCCAGACATAACATGATATAACAAATTTAATAACTTTTGTTTTTAGGTGGTGCTTTTTCCAGAGAATGATTATTATATGATTACCTCAATACTTTTTTAGAGCATCGTTTGGGTAAATATTTAATAATTATTAAATTTTCAAATATTAATTGTCATTTTTTGAATATAAATGTAGGCCCAAACCATTTCGCTGCCGCCGCCACGCTGTAATGCTCCTTCAGTCTATGAAATATTCATCTTTAAATACATATATTTCTGTAGTACCGTTTTCTCACCTTAATAAAACGCTTGAGAAATATTAGTATAAAGTGTTGCTTTGTACACTATTAACAAAAGAAAATAAGTCCTGTATGTACAATATACATAGATTCACCAATTCAAAGCAGGGATGCTTAAAATATGCACTACGAAAAGTTATGTGTGACTCATAGTATGTTAACTTTTATGTAAATAATAATCAATTTTGTGGTTAGCTATTTTTTCTAATAAAAATCATAAATATTTTTATAAGGAAAAGTCACTAAACTGTTTTTAAAATCAAGACAACTCGCTCCAAAATTTTTAAAACGGAAATCCAGAAGTCTCTTGATTTCAAATTCATTTGGATTAGTGCCGAAAGACTCGCGTGAAATTTGTTTGTGTGCTATATTTATATTTTCCGTTCTTTCATTCCAATCAGACAATAATGGACTAGGAAGCCCCACTGACTCTTTAGGGTGGTCCACATTTGTAAGGAAATACTTTAAGCACCTCTTTCATCCGCTTTTATACAGAGGTATGCGCATTATCATTGCTATTACTATTGGCTTTTATCAATATTTTATTTTAAAGAAAGTGGTGTAGGTGCAACAAAAAATAGCTTTTTAATTAAAAAGGTAAGAATTTGATTGTTATATAAAAATATAGTTCGCAAGCTCACTACTCCAAATGGCAACACGGAGTTCATGAAGGGACTTGAACCATGTTCCGACATATACATTAAAAATTTATATTTGTTATACATAGGGTGCCGCTCTGCTGGAGTTATCCATTCCAGTATCCACACTAAATCCGTATACTTACTGCTATGTATCATAATCTGGAAATCCTGTACGACAGAGAAACCTTAGGCACCGGACGAGTCACGGAAGCACCGGATGAAAACGCCAACAAACTCAGGGAGATTTATGACATCGCACGGCGAAATCTGGAAAAGGCATTTCAGTACCAATCCAGACTATAATCTGAGGAAGCAATGGACGTCAGCTGTGGGCGACGAAGTGTGGGCCAAGGAACACCATCATATCAAAAGGTGCCCAGGAATTCGCCGCAAAACTGGCCCTGAGGTATAATGGTCCTTACCAGGTCGTACATTTTGCAAAACAACTGATGCAAAACACAAGCGAGCAGCTTGCAGACACAACGTTCGCCTGCTAGGCGTGAAGCAAAGTTAACTGCTAGGCAGCTTCCTGGCGTTGGCCTTGACTGTCAGCGCGAACGGAGCGAAGCCCTAGTGAGACCATCCGGGACAGACACGCGGTCGTTGTGTCGAAAGGCGTTGCCATGGACAGCGAGGCACTTATTCACCCTAGTCTGAGAACGGTGAAGGGAAGCCCCTAAGCCCGCACGGCCGATCTCTCTGCGAGTTAAAGGCGAGACAAGCGGCCTCGGGTCAACGTGTCGGCGAGCAAGCAGAGGCGAGGGACACCAGGAGCATCCCAATACTTTTGGAATATAGATTGGTATTTAATAAAATCAAACCAAAAAACAACTTCAAAAATGTGGACACTAGAAAAGCGTTTTAGCATTATTTGCGATTGTTGGCGCTAAAGTGTGCATACCACTCCGATGAAACAAACTTCCGAATTTGCATGCCTAGACCCAACATTCTAGCTCTTAAAGTTTCCGAGATCTCAGTGTTCATACGAACAGACAGATAGACAAACATACGGACATGGCTGACCAACTCGGCAAGTGATGATTTTCGATGCTTGTATTAGTTCATGAAAGGCGGAACAATTTCAATGATATTTATGTCGGAACTTTGTGGAACTGATCCATGTCCGTTAACAACTTGGTAGGCATCCAACCCTTATGACACGGAACACAGTTGTTGATATGTATCATAATCACGAAATCTTGGCCGATATTCTCTGTTATTATGTACACTCTAACATACCAAAAATATCACAGCTATACAGAGCCGAATAAAGTCAGTTGGACGTCAGTCGTCTCCTTTTAATCGGAACACAACATTTTCTAGCGACGAAGAAAAAAGTCCCGCAAAATTTCATTTTGTGTAATTCGTGTCGGTAGACTAAAACAACAGTGATCGAAAGCAAAAAGACATATAATGGCTGACAGCCAAGTTAATTTTGAAACATTATGGGCTCAACAGCAAGAATTTGCGCAGAAGTTGATGCAACAACAACAAAAATGGATGGAATCCATTCTTTCACTAAACAGTGGTGTGAACTTAGCCAGATCGGGAGAATTATCCGTGTGCCCACCGTTTCCAAACTTTAACAAAGAAAATCAAAATTGGGAAATGTACCTCCAACAATTAACACAGCACTTCTCCGCTTACTCGGTGCAAGCAGCAGATAGGAAAAAAGCGTATTTTCTAATGTGGGCAGGCACTCACATATTTGAGCTTGTAAAAAATCTGTTTGGTAGCGAAAACTTGGACCAGCAGACATATGAACAAGTAACGGAAAAACTTACAGAACATTTCAAGCAGAAGCGTCATATTGTTGCTGCACGGTACGAATTCTTCAAACGTCAGATGCGGGACTCACAAACACATAAGAAATGGGTCACCGATCTACGTGGCATTGCTAGAGAGTGTCAATTTTTTTGCCAATCCGATGGGTGTTCATTTAATTACGTTAATGAAATGACCCGCGATCAAATAATTGTGCACACTTCATTCGACGCAATTCGCACAGCCGCTTTTCAGAAGTTGCAGCCGTCTCTCGAAGACATTCTCTCAATTGCCGAAACTTACGAGACAACAACAAAGACAGTGGCAATAATCAAAGAGAGTGAAAAGAGAGCTCTTGTAACAAACGCAGTATACACACAAAAATCAAATCATCAAAAACGCAATTTTTCTGATGGTAAAGGCGGCAAGACTGCTTTAAAATCGTGCTCTGGCTGCGGTCACTCTCATTCTCGCGAAAATTGCAAGTTTCGGGAGGCAATTTGCCACAAATGTGCCAGAAAGGGGCACATAGCTGTCGTTTGATTATCCAAGCAGTGCAAAGACAAAAAAGACACCGATCAACAAAAAACCCGAAACAAAAACGCAGAGTCAATTCAAACAATTTACAACGTTTCCAGCTTGGTCAAGTTTGAAGGAAACAAAACTGAGATTGAAGTGGAGCTCCTCAATATAATCGTATCCTTCCAAATGGATTCTGTCAGTATTGAATTTCAATACATACAAAAAGCTAAACAGCCCGAGACTGCAGAAGTGCGATCGAATCTTGCACGCATTTGGCCGACAACAAATTCCTGTACTGGGTGAGCTACACACTGTAGCAAAGTGTGGCAACAAATTGGCGAATGTGGTGATAATTGTGGCTAATGTGGATAAGTCCAATAATCTGTTCGGCTTGGATTTGTTTAAAACATTCAATTTTGAAATTCAGAAAATCGCAAACGTCACTGACTCAAGGGGACTCAAATGACAGATCTTTGCCAGAGGTATAAGGAGAAATTTGAGCCGGCTATTGGTACGATAAAAAACTTTAAGGCTAGCATTTACCTTAAACCGAATTCCGTACCAAAGTTCTACAAAAGCAGGCAAATTACGTTTGCCCAATTGGATAAATTCAAGGAGGAAGCGCAGCGTCTCATAGAAGCAGGTATTTGGAAACGCATAAAATGTAGCAACTGGGCATCGCCAATAGTACTAGCACCAAAGCCCGGTGAAGCACTGTGAATCTGCGGCGATTTCATGCAAGGCGTCAATTCCCAATTGGACATCAAGCAATATCCATTGCCGACACGTGAGTCTTTGTTACACAAAATTCGCCACGGCACGCATTTCTCCAAAATTGACCTTAAGGAAGCATACTTACAAATGGAGTTAGACGATGCAGCGAAAGAAATTCTGGTTGTCAACACGCCGTTGGGTCTCTTTCAGTACCAACGTTTGCCGTATGGAATAGCTAGCGCACCAGCTATAATTCAGCGTCACCTTGAGCAACTTCTAAGTGAAATAGAAGGTTGTGAAAAATTTCTCAATGACAATTATTTCGGCCCCAACAGTGGACCAACACCTAGCCAGACTTGAACAAATTTTATGCATTTTACAGGCGAATGGCATAAAATGTAAGAAAGAGAAATGTTTCCTTCTAAGGGATGAAATTGAGTACCTTGGGAGAAGGGTCAGTGTTAAGAGCATCCTTCCGGATTCGTCAGGACTAGAAGCCGTTAAGGAAATAAAGCCGCCCTCTAATCTACAACAGCTAGATGCGTTTATGGGAAAAGTGAACTATTACTGCAATTTAATTCCAAATTACTCCCAGTTAGCTTCACCCCTAAATCAATTGCGTAGGAAGAACATACCCTTCAAGTTTGGACCAGAGCAACCGCAAGCTTTCTCAGCTTTGAAGAAGCATATCCTCGACGCTACTGAGCTAGCAGATTTCAACGAGAATCTTCCGCTTGTTTTAGCCACAGATGCATCCTTTTTCGGCATTGGTGTTGTATTGTCACACATGCATCCAGATGGCTAGGAAAAGCCAATAGCCTTCGCATCGAAAACCCTTGACGTTCACCGAGTCCGATACAGCCAAATTAGGAAAGAATCAATCATATTTGGGGTAAAGAAGTTTCATCAGAATTTATATGGCAGGAAATTTATTCTCATAACATCACAAGCCGTTGGTCACAATCTTTAATCCTAGCAAGCATTCGCCAACAATGACTTCAAACAGACTCCAGCGTTGGGCTATAATATTGATAGCTTACAATTTTGATATTAAATATCGCTCAACCACAGCTCATGGAAACGCAGACGCACTCTCATGTCTTCCTATAAGGTCAGATCACCTTTTCGATAAGGAAGAGGAATGCTATAACATAGTCGATATATCCTGTCCAATAAATGCCGATATCATCAACGAAAGTCTAAAAACCGATACAATTTTGCAGAGAGTATACAACTTCGTATCAACTGGTTGGCCAGAACAACAGGATGATCCCGAAATACAACCTTACTTCAGCCGCAGATTTGTCTTGACGATCAACAACAAGCTGCTATGACTCCATTCTGATGTACTTCTTAGTTCGCATGAAACAACCAGCTCGTCACCATGTTTGGTGGACAGGTATCGACGACGACATAGCACAACTAACTAAGAGTTGCACCGTTTGCATGGTAGGCAACCCAGCCCCGGTAAAAGAGTTTCAAAGCTGGCCAAAAGCTACAAGTGCCTGGGAATGGATACACATAGATTTTGCGGGTCCTATATTTAACTCAATGTGGCTAATATGCGTCGATGCTTATTCTCAGTTCCCGTTCATAACCCAAATGTCGTCAACTACAACTGCAAATACAATATCAGCGCTCACAGCTATATTTGCAATTGAGGGTTACCCCAAAACAATTGTCAGTGATAATGGACCCCAACTCACTGCAGAAACCTTTAAGGAATTTTGCCTTCAACATGGAATTAACCACCTAACTACAGCTCCTTTTCACCCAGCATCAAATGGACTTGCTGAGCGCTTCGTCCAAAATTTTAATACTTCTGTCGTCAAAAACATAAAAGTAAGTAAAAACAGCCGTTACGAAATACCTTAGTTCGTATCGTTTCACCCCGAACTCGGAAGGAAAAAGTCCTGCACAACTTCTACATGTTCGCCCTGGGCGTACGATCTTAAGTCAACTTTTTGAAAAACAAACTGAAAGCCAGCATATCGAACCAAAAAAGTATTCGCCGATCCAAAAAGTATTTGCCAAAAATTACGTCAGGGAAGAAAAGTGGATAAAAGCTGTCATCGATCGGTCCATAGGCCTTATGGTATTTATTCTTCGAACATCCACAGGCCTTATTAAGCGCCACATAAATCAGATTAAGTCGAGATCTGATCACGATGACCTCAGTAGCAGCTCCAAAGATGACAACACTCCGTTTTGGTGGATGCCCGACACTTCCAATCCACCAACAACTCCGTTAAGCCCAAGACATGAAGAACAGCAGCCATCTAGCCCATCACAGCCTCTCCAATCCACCCAAGCTTCCAATGAAGTACCAGCACCAATCCAGCTAGATGAACCTCAACCGTCACAACCACGTCGATCTGGTATCCCCATTCGTAGCAGTACTCGTTTGCGCCAAGATGTCAACCGTTTCAAACCCCCAGATTTCAGAAAGCGTAAAACTACTAACAAAATGTAAATTTAGGGGAAAGATGTGAAATGTATTATAATCTGGAAATCTTGGCCATTTGCTGTTTACTTTATCGATATTCTCTGTTATTGTGTACACTCTAACATACCAAAAATACCGTAGCTATACAGAGCCGAGTAAAGTCAGTTGGACATTAAATCTCTCTTTAATCAGAACACAACACTTACATTTACTTGTCACAACCCTCCCCTTCACCCTGCAAATAACTTTTTTATTCCATGTCGGCTAGTTGTTGCTAGCTTCATCGTTCCTCTATCGATCGTCAAGTTTCGTTTGCTGTATACCAAAATAGAAGAAAATTTAATCGAAAACAAAGAAGCTGTTATTTTTATACCCGTTACTTATAAAGTGGAAGGGTATATTAGATTCGTCGGAAAGTATGTAACAGGTAGAAAAAAGAATTTCCTATAAAGGATATATATTATATATTTAGCCGAGTCGATCTAGCCATGTCCTTCTGTCCGTCCGTATTAACGCTATGATCTCTCAGACTACAAAAGCTGATAAATAAACTTTCAGCAAGGTGCCACAATCCCATCTTCATGCCAAACTTAACCAATTATAAAAAATTTATAACGTTCGGAAACAGTCGATTTGCTGCATGCACGTATCAATCTCCCTCGCGCTCCTTTTAGCTGAGTAACGGGTATCTATAGCCTAGCGACTATAGAGTTCTTCCTTGTTATACCCATGCAGAGGGTATAATGATTTCAGTCTGAGGTACGCAATGCAGTGAAGGAGATTTCTCCAACCCATAAAAATAGATATATTCTTGATCAGCATAATTAGACGAGACGATCTAGCCATGCCCGTGTGTCCATTTCTACGCAAAATCAACCTCGGTTTTAAAGCTATCGCGATAAAATGTTTGTCTTTCTATTGCAGAAAGTATATATAACATACCATTCGTAAACAATAAGAAAAACAAAAAAGGAAGCTAGCTTCGGCAAGCCAAAGTTGCTATACCCTTGCAGGTCGTTTGTTGTAAATTACTGCCGTATATGTTTTCCGAAACCGAAATATAAGGTCTTCAGTTCTGCCTTTGATTAGTTCCGGGCCCCTGTGTGCCATATTTCTGCAGTTGTTAATTAACGATTTTAAGAAAACCCTGCTGATCTGGAGGTGTTAGCCCCAGCTGACATTTTAAATGGTGGTCCCCCTTCTTTAGAAGTTAGAAAAACTATATAATTTTTCCAACCCAGCTACAAGCTTGATCTCATTGTGTTGTACCGGAGTCACTAAGCGTGGTGTTCCCCAAGGTTCGGTCCTTGGACCATTACTGTTTTCAATATATCTGGATGATCTTCCAAATGTCTTGTCTAATTGTAAAGTGCAGATGTATGCTGACGATATGCAAATGTATGTGAGTTGTCCCTATAGCTGTATATCTGAACGTATTGATGTCATTAATAGTGAACTTAAACTAGACAGCAATTGGGCAAAGAATAACAGTCTTCAAATAAATCCAAACCCAAAACTCAATTAGTAGGAATAAATTCACCGTAGCATACAACAAAATAGCAAGATTTATTTTTATACCCGCTATTCGTAGAGTAAAAGGGTATAATAGATTCGTCGGAAAGTATGTAACAGGCAGAAGGAAGCGTTTCCGAACATAAAGTATATATATTCTTAATCAGGATCACTAGCCGAGTCGATCTAGTCATGTCCGTCTGTCCGTCCCGATGAACGCTGAGATCTCGGAAACTATAAGAGCTAGGCTATTGAGATTTGGCATGCAGATTCCTGAGCTTCTTACGCAGCGCAAGTTGGCTTCAGCAATGTGCAACGCCCACTCTAGCGCCCACCAAACGCCCAAAACTGTGGCTCCTACAGTTTTGATGCTTGAATAAAAATTTCAACTAAAATGTATTGTCCTCATCAGTACCTATTGATTAACCCAAAAAAAAGTTTGCCACGCCCACAATTTGTATGCTAGATAAAAAATTGTAACTGAAATGTATAAGTCTTGTTAATACCTATCGATTGATCCAAAAAAGTTTTGCCAGTTAAGCCTTTGGCGCCCACAATTTTCACGCTAGAAAAAAATGTTAACTGAAATGTATTAGTCTCGACAATACCTATCGATTGACCCCAAAAAAAGTTTGTCACGCCCACCCTAACGCCCATTACGCCTAAATCTGTCTACCGCCCACATAACCATATATTGACATCGCGGGTAGTTGCCGCACTTCAATCTCCCTTTTGTAGTATGCACTTATTTTGAATATCCACTGTACCAAGAGTACTAGAATAAAACACACTGTAACACTTTGTTGCAGTGTTTACATAAACAAAGGCTCGGTCAAAAGCCTAAAGTGGCCGAAACATGAGTCGATCGGCGGCGTACACAGAAAGTGCAAGTGTCAGCATTCTGTTGCACACGCCGGCCGCTCAGCCAAACTCAAGTACATACACATATCTCCGCGCTCCAGACTAATTGAGCATAGCTTTATACTTAAGAATATATAGGCCGTCTCTCCGCTGCCGCTGCTGGCAGCGCCGCTATGAGACTTAGACCTCCTTAGCTCCTAAGTAAATTAAGTTTGGGAAAAAACTCTTTTGAGCTCAGAGCGGCAACAACGGCTGCTTTGCTCCAAATACAACCAAATAAAAATCATCCAAAAGGATATTTAACTGAAGTGAAATTGGACTTATATTTTTTGGGCGTTATGGAAATCCGACACATTTAAACTATTACATGGCGACCGTGACGATAGTCCTGGAGGACCTAGGAAGGAAAAACTGCAGGACAGGAAATTGAAGACGATTTCATTTCACCGTGACGCTGGTCCTGTAGGACCTAGAAAGGAACAACTGCAGGACAGGAAATTTATGACGATTTCATTAGCAGCAGACAAAAAAAATAATATCGCAGTGAGTAGAGTGTGATGTGTGCTAAACGCAATGGTGTGGTAAAAAGACTAAAAGCCAAAAGGGCTGAATTACTGAAGCTACTAAATAGCGGAAGTAGATTAAATTGGAACGATTCGGTCAAATTACAGGCCGAACTCGAAAATATAAAAACTTTAATAAGTGAAAGAAAAAATCAAGCCACAGCGCCACACACACACCTACCCTGCAATTAAAAGTCTCGCTAAAACTAATGTAAAATTACCTCCACCACAGAAGAAGGAAATACCAAAATTTACAAAGAAGTGCCCAAACGACTGCAAGGGACCACTGTGCTCGCCCCACTGCGAGTACACCTGTGCAGCCAGCAACGGTGCCCCAACAAAGAATACCGTCGAGGAAGTCCAGCCTGTGCAGCCAGCACCGGCCACGTTTTGCCAACCAAGCGAGACCAAGGAGAAGTGAGCCGACAGCGCTTCATAGAGCGCATATTTTTTTTTTACCATGCACTGCGTTGCATAATTTTTTTCATTGCACTGCGATGCATATTTTTTTATATTTTATAAAAAACTAATCTAAAATTTAGCGACATTAAAGTTGCCCAATTAGCGTGTGGCCTGAAAACCATACAAAAACTAGGCAGGCTTTCCCATTGTTAAAAATAAATTTTTATCGAATAATACAAAAAAATGTCACGGCCCAATAAGGCAAATTTTTAACTACATCAGCCAAACTAAATGTACCACAGCAAAAGTCATAAATAAAATCGAGTCCAAAAATATTAATACAGATTTAACGAACATATTATCAATTATTGTTTTTATTATGAGCGCATTTATTTTGTACAAGGCATATATGTTTCATAATAAATGTATATCAAAGAGTGCCATAAATAAAAGCCAGGCTAATGATCTGGACAAAATATAAGTACATAAAGCGCCAATAATAATTATAAAAAGATGTTCAAAATAAAATAAAAACAAAAGAGCCAACCATTTAATATAAATATGTATGTCCATATATTGATATATTGAATATAGATACTATTTCATCCAATAATCTTATCTAATGTACAATGAAAATAAATAAATAAAAAAAAAATAATAAATATAAAATATGAATACTACAGAGTGTATTAGAATCACTCTTGGTAGGGAACCCAACTTTCAGAACAGGGTATTATCAATAATTGGAAAAGGAGCTGAGCTTCTACTAATCAATGAATTCGAATATGAGTACATGAATAGGTACAACTTAGGCTTTTCTCCCTTGATACATTGCTCAAGTACCCAGAAGGCGATAGTATTGAGCACCGTCCGTCAAATTTGTAAACAGTTGCACAGAAGCAACCGGACAGCCAAACACTGTCCTATATTACAAAAATTACCCGCAGCGCGGTGGAAATCGCGGACGAGGTAATAATCGAGGTAATTATAACAATACCAGATATTATCAGAATAACGGATATAATCAAAACAATGGTTATAACAGAAATAACAATAGCCACATAATAAACAACAACCGTGGTGGAAACACCAGCTGCGAAACAGCCGTGGGGGAAACAACAACAACCACAATAACAATGTTAGAGTAGCACAAACAAATTCGGGAAACTCCCAACCACCTTTAGATACACGACAGTAAACAACATCAAAATTCCCACTCTAAATCTCAGTCAAAATACATTTGTCACTTTTATGAACGTAGCAACAGGAAAAGAATTAGTTCTCCTACTAGACACAGGTGCGGAAATATCCATATTGAAGGAAAATTCCGATAATTTTCAAAACATTCAAGACAATCCCATCATAAACATACAGGGTATAAGTCAGAAAGTTACCAAATCAAAAGGCTTAATTCTATTGAAATTCAAACTTCTAAGTACATAATTCCACATGATTTCCATATCGTAAATATGCAATTCGCTATTCCATGTGATGGAATACTAGGAATCGATTTTATCAAAAGATACAACTGTCAATTAGACTTCAAGCCATCTTAAGACTGGCTTATAATAAGACCAAATAACCTAAAACATCCAATTTCTGTTCCAATAGCATACAGTTCTGGCAACAACTCCCTAATTCTGCCAGCAAGATCCCAAGTCGTCCGAAAAATCGAAATAAATTCAGAAGAAGACAGTGTATTAATTCTGAATCAAGAAATTCAGCATGGTATCTATATCGCAAATACCATAGCAACAGTCCAAAGTGCATATATAGATTACTAAATACTACAAACACAGATCAAGTAGTCTATATCAAAAACATTGATCATGAACCACTTTCAAACTACGAAATAGTAAAAACGGACTTAGAAGACAGACAAAAAATTGTATTATCCCAACTTGCAAAAAACTTCCCGCCTCAATTCAATGAACAACTTACAGCATTATGCACCCAGTATAGTGATGTATTCGGACTAGAAACCGAAGCGATCACTACCAATAGTTTTTATAAACAAAAGCTGAGATTAATTGATGATGAACCCGTATATATAAAAAATTATAGAAATCCTCATAGTCAACAAGACGAAATTCAAAAACAAGTCCAAAAACTCATCAATGATGAAATAGTGGAACCCTCTGTATCACTTTATAATAGCCCACTTTGTGAGTACCAAAAAAGTCACTTCCAAATTCGGAAAATAAAAAATGGCGATTAGTAATTGACTATCGTCAAATTAATAAAAAACTCTTGTCTGATAAATTTTCACTCCCTAGAATCGATGATATTTTAGATCAACTAGGTAGAGCAAAATATTTCTCATGCCTTGACTTAATGTCAGGTTTTCATCAAATTGAACTGGAAAAAAGTTCACGGGATATAACATCTTTTTCAACAAACAATGGTTCTTACCGCCTCACGCGATTACCATTCGGTTTAAAAATAGCGCCAAACTCTTTTCAGAGAATGATGACTATAGCTTTCTCTGGATTAGAACCTTCGCAAGCATTTCTTTATATGGATGACTTAATAGTCATAGGTTGTTCCGAAAAACATATGCTCAAGAACTTAACTGATGTTTTCGAGAAATGTAGGAAACACAACTTAAGTTACATCCTGAAAAATGTTAATTTTTCATGCATGAAGTCACTTTCTTAGGACATAAATGCACAGATAAAGGAATCTTGCCCGACGACAAAAAATACGACGTAATTTAAAATTATCCAGTCCCACATGATGCGGACAGCGCTTGAAGATTCATTGCATTTTGCAATTATTACAGACGTTTTAGAAAGAATTTTGCTGAATACTCCCGTCACATAACAAAATTATGTAAGAAAGACGTAAAATTCGAATGGACTGTCAAAACGCCTTCGAACATCTTAAATCAGCATTAATAAATCCCACTCTGTTGCAATACCCAGATTTTAGCAAAGAATTTTGAATAATCACAGATGCTAGCAAATACGCACGTGGAGCAGTCTTAACTCAAAACAAAAATGGACTACAGCTTCCAGTGGCATACGCATCAAGATCCTTTACGAAAGGTGAAAGCAACAAGAGCACTACAGAACCAGAGTTAGCATTTATTCATTGGGCAATAACACACTTCAGACCATATATTTATGGTAGACACTTCACTGTCAAAACAGACCATAGAGCACTTACATACTTATTTTCAATGGTAAATCCCAGTTCCAAACTAACACGAATGAGACTTGAATTGGAGGAATATAATTTTACGGTAGAGTATCTAAAGGTAAAGATAACTATGTAGTCGATGCGCTCTCTAGAATAACC